CCCCCAAAACCCCAAAACCCCAAAACCCCAAAACCCCGAACTACAAGAAAACAATTGGAATTTTTTAATAATATTAAGCTTTTTTACTCATAAAAATGCTATCCTTCATAGGTAAGTAATAAGTTATGATCTCTAGCCTCATGATTACGTTCGTTTGATATTTTCCATATCAATCCAGGCCCGACTAGTCATAACAAATCCAGATATGGCCAAAACTGAGCAAGAATATGAATGTTTCTGGTCTTTGTAGTATCATTTTATAAAACTAATTTAAGAGTATAGCTGAATTCTTCAGGAATAACAGAATATAGACTATATTGACTTCCTTAGCAATCGTCATACTCCTTGATCCAAAATTGTTGGGTTCTTCCAATCTGAGTGGTACTTCCCTTACTACAACCACCAAGTCTCGTACAAGCACGATCATTCCTCCCTGCCCAGATCCTATAATACCTGAAACCCCAGATGAGTCCACTCCACTCCTGACTGATTTCAGAGAGGGAACTGAGTTCAACCCAGGCTGTATGTCCCTTCTAATCCTGTAGCTCTATTCCAAGTCAGCAGGCTGCAAAGTGACAAGGCTACCTTCGATAGTCTAGCTATGATACCTTACCAGTCAAGATTTCTTTATGCATTCAGTTGGGGCTTCAACTTCGCAATCAGGATTAAGAATCGACCATATAATGCAACCTTATATCCCCATCTGCAGGTCCTGTATTTCAATCGTGGCTCTATATCCTCGGGGGGCCTAGAGTACGTCAGCTTTATAAACATTTTTTTAAAGAATTACTGGGGATTTTTAAAGTTAATAATTACTAGAGAGATGTATAAGAGGACTAATCCCTGAGTCTTCATGGCTCAGGTACCTCACAGAAGTAAACTATTAAGTCTTATTCCCTCTTATAGCTTGGTAACCTGTGATATAAACAACTTTCATCCGGAACTTCATCCAGAGCTGACTCAAATTGGAATTCAGAACTTTCTTTGTAAGGGTTTAAATTTCTAAAGAGTTTTGACTTTTAGGATTGGAAAATCAATACGCAATAATTTTAGAAGGAAACAGAGTTAATCCAACTAACCAGTATTTCCAAGGTAAGACAAGCATCCTTGTGTTGCTGATCTGTATAGTATGGCTCAACAGATGCTATGGAGGGACGTGTGTCGACTCAAATGTTCAATGTACTATCCTTGATTCATGGTCTAGATGATTACCTTTCCGGATTAGAGCTAGAATTAGTCTTAGTTGAAATGTATTATAACATGTGGATGCCCTACCCCATAAGTTTTGGACTCAAAAAGGAGATTTTTACTATCACTCCAGAAGAAACCCTCAGATATGACTTAATGCTCGAAGAGACTGTGATTTATCCGATGAATGGCTGGTCATATTCCATTTTTGAACAAATTGTAGAGAATAAAGAATATTCCAAAGCTGTATATTCCAATGTCAACTTCATGTTGGCTGTATATGGAAGTGATGTATATCACACTATTCGTGAATTCAGTGAGTTCCAGTCTAATCCTCGTAAGTTAAGAAACCTTACTTCTAGCTCCTTTCCACAGGAACCTGAACAGCACTGCAGATTTGGAAGAAGAGAACAAAATGCCTCTCCTACATAAAATATTTTACACATTATCTAACCTGGGAGGACTGTATATTATCTGAATGTTTTTCCTTGGAATGATCTTGAACCCTATAATCTCCACAATTTTATCATTCAGACTTGTAAATTCAGCCAAAAAGGCAAAGAATTTAGCAGCTAGTACGCCAATTTTATTTAAATTTAGTGCTCCTGGAGAAGGACAAAGAGGAGAAAAAGATTGAAATCAATAAGCATTTGAAAAATCAAAATAAGCTGGACAATCTTGAGGAAGAGTACTCATTCAAAATTACAATTTTAGAGAGAAAGTCCAAATTTCTCCAGAAAGGGAAGGTGAACACTCATTCTACCAGAATGAGGAGCTTCAGCACGAAGGAGGATCTCAGAAATACAACTTAATTGATGGTATTCCAGAATCTAAAGATTTAGAACAAAGACAGTTACACAAAGAACTGAAAACCCTATCAGGGAACATACTCTCACAATCATCAGATTTAGGTGTAGGGCTACCCACAGAGGTGGTTTATGGGTAGTCCAACTTTGTTAACTGTTTTAGATGGAAAGACATCCTTTTTGAGCTCCTGTGCTGATACAAGTCAAGGTTACCCACTAACAAAAATAGCCTTAGCTCAAGAAATATCAAGTTCATTTTTGAAGAAGATGCTTTTAACCAAGATAGGGACATCATCAACATTGTTAATAGAATCTCAATCCTTGAGATGAGATCTGAGATCCTTACTGATATTCTGTATGAAGAAGAAATACATAGAATAGACCAAAACGAGGGAAACTCTGGAGATCGATCACCTTTGCAGGAGAAAGATAAAAAGATTTTGTCTCAAGAAGAGATACTTAAAATATCCAAAACACAATCCAAGAATTCAGATTCCTTGCAAAAACCAAATTCTGAAGGAGACTAGAGTAGATATCTGTGCGCTTTGGATTTGTCTGAGGCTTTAGCTTTGTATTTCCAGGCGCTCAGCCTCCCAAATCCTGTTCATCTCAAGATTAGGGAATATTGACTATTTCAATCTTAAAATAATCTCCAGGGGTTTTGGGGTTTTGGGGTTTTGGGGTTTTGGGG